AAATACTGCGAATATATGTAATTAAACAGAAAAGGTACAGTACCTTGTGTAAACCATAATCCTCTTCGGTTATTTGAACAATTGCTTGTGTAGGTTTTAAGAGTATTATGGACGCTCGTATCTTTTCTAAGGATGACATGTCATATTTTTTAAGAGCAAGGATACGTTTATAGATAGTTGTACACAACATTTTCTGATTCTCGACAGAAAGTCCAACGTCATTAGGAAGAATATGTGAAATAAAAACGTTCAACTTTTCTTCCCAAGTGGTGCATTTTTCAAGATCTAAAAGCAGCTACAAAAAGGAAATAAGACGAAATAAATAAGAAGATCAAGAAACGATAAAAAAATATTTTACTAATACTGAAATTTACCTTTCCACTCGTGGTTAACTGTATAGTATCCATGATAGCGAGCAAGATATTATTTTGAAGTTCATTCTCCGTAGTAGAAGGAAGAAATTGTTCTATTATCGCTTTCATTTGTTCATAAGCACCATCAATCAACACTAATCGACCGTTTAAGCCACGTTTTTCCAATCGTCTCGCTAATTCGACGGCGATTAACGAACCGTACGAATATCCGACTAGAACGAAACTCCTTTGCTCTTCCACCTTTGGTAAAATATACTGGAAATTTCAAAAGAACATGCAGGTAAATATTTCTCTCAGTTCGACGAAAACATTTGTTAAAAGTAACATGAATATCTCATTTTATTTATCACGCGTATATTTTTCTACACGTACGTACTGGTAAAAGACAGTCGGCGTATTCCGGTATAGACGTAAGAGCAGATCCGATATGTATTATTCCATATTGCAAAGCTGTTGCGATGGACTTAATTTTCGGTGCCAGTGAATTAAACACATGTCCGCAGCCCTGAATACCCGGCAAAAGGAATACCTCAACCTTGCGCGAATTCATCATAGTTTCTAACTGCATACAGATTTCAGAAGTCAAATCTTCTTTACCTAAAGCTCGAATCAACAGTTGCATTCCGGATATTTCGACCGTCTCAGTCTCTCGAATATGTGCGTTATCTTGTTTCATATTCTTATCGCGTATCTCCACTAATTTTTCGAAGTTGAGATTGCGAATGTCTTCTGCGGTGAGGAACATATCATACTCGCGTTCCAAAGTTTGTTTAATCTCTACAGCCGTCATCGAGTCCATGCCGAGTTCAACCAAACGTGTTTGCTGAGGCACACTCTTGAAATCTTTGATAGCTGCAAGTGCAGTGAAAGGTTGTAATTGAGTTTTTCTCCTAGAAGATTATTTTATACATAAAATAACAAAAACAGTCTTACCCATCATATTCGCCACAGCCTCGACAATGTTAACATTACCATAAGCACGTTTCTCAGCCACAACCATGCTAGCTACTACTGGGCGATCTTGCAACAGGAAGTTCTCTAATTTCTCAAGGCAGGAGGATACTTTTTGTTGCAGAGCACCACCAACCACGAGTCCCTTATTGTCCATCCAGTCGACGATGAGACCGACTTCATCTATTGCGCCCCACTGAATAGCCAGTCCTGGCAAACCGTCAGCTACTCTACGTTCACAAATCCTCTCCATCACCGAATTAGCCATACCATAATTCGTTTGTCCAGCATTCCCTCGCCCACTTGAAAACGAAGAGAAGACTACGAAATGCCGAAGTTGCGGGCACAATTTTCTGGATAACTCATCCAACATCTTCGTGGCCCATGCTTTCCCCCTGAAAGATTTCTCGAAGGACTCCGGCGTTTGGTTCTTACAGATGCTGTCCTTCAGCACCGCGGCAAGATTGAAGATGGCTTCCACTGGGCCCTGCTCCTCCGCGGATTTCAGTATGAATTCGCAATCCTTGCGGTTCGAGGCGTCGGAGCCCACGATAATAAGTACGTTCACGCCATAAGATTTCCACAGTTCGACCTTCATGCGCTGATAACCGTTCTTTATTCCCGTTCTTGATGTCAACACCACGTTTCTAGCGCCTCGGAGTATCAACCAATCTGCTAGTTCTAATCCAAAACCACCCAATCCGCCCAAAATGAGATAGGTCTTTTTACTATCGCAGTAATATCGAGGATGCGCGAGAATTTTTCCAAAGTTCTTCTCATCGGAAATTTTCAAAATTACCTATGAAAAACATAATATAACATATCTATATACTTTTATTTATTTTCGATCAATTTCTTCTTATACTTATTGATTTACTTTGAATGAAATTTAACTTGTTTCTTTAATTCTTTCTTTCAAAAACATTTAGTTACATTATTTGACATTGAAAATCCATCTTGAAGCCGGAGACTTCAAATCCATAGACTTAGATCTTTATTTTTCTTTTTTCAGAAAATACATAGGAAATTTTTAGATTTTAGATTAAGATAATTTCCGACATAAAAAGAATCTTATGATTAGAAGCAATAATAAATTATTCGGAAAGTATTCAAAATATCGTTACATTTAGCTGCACGAAGTAATGGATGATTAACCAAAATGTTTTCTGTTATATAAAAACGAGCAAAATATAATTTAAAATATACTTATACTTAAATAATGCTTGATAAAAACTGCTTTCTAAATGTGTATTCACATTTTTATATTAATTAAAATATTTAGTTACATGTGTCCTTATTGTAACTCTGTGTATTTGAAATATTGAAAATTTATAGCGAGACTGTGTAGTATCCCATTATAAATTTTCCTTACCTTGCCTATATGTTTCCCAGCCATCATATATCTGAAAGCTGTCTCTAATTCATCTTTATCAAAGATTTTTCTAATAAGTGGTTTAATAGCTCCATTCTTAAGACCTTCGGCTATCATATCATGCAGCCGTATCTTTTCTTCCTCTGTTTCAGAATAAAGTGTATTGTCGAGCGAAATTCCATGGATGCTAACTTCTTTCAAGAAGATCATCATTCCTACGGTATTGTTTGCGGTGAGATCATATTTGCCAATCTCTAGAAAACGACCACCTTGCGCCAAACAACGAACTGATGCCTGAAGTTTTTCCTCGGCCAATGAGTTCAAGACAATATCTACCCCGGCACCATTTGTTCGTTGAAGTACCATCTGCTCGAAGCTAGTGTTGCGTGAATTACCAATGTGATCGTCCGGAATCGATGGGAACATCTTCCGAATAAATTCACGTTTTTCAGGCGTTCCTACAGTGGTGAACACCTCGCAGCCTTCATTAAGAGCGAGATGTATCGCTGCCTGACCGATACCGCCAGTGCCGGAATGAATGAGCACTTTATCACCTTTCTTCATCTGACCGTTATTATATAACGCAATATAGCATGTTGAATATACACATGGCACAGTAGCCGCGTCTTCCAATGACCAATTATCCGGCACTTGCCAACACAAATTTCTGTCAGGTACGATAACATTTGTTATGCCCCTGAAAATATAAATGTATTATATACAATCATAAAGATTTCAATTTCTAGAACATCTTAAAATGTACAATACTTTGGGAAAAATATTATCAATTAAGAGTAATTAATAAATTTTTGAAAAATGTAACATCGAAGATATTACAATCATAGATATATTAATAAAATTTTAAAAATATATTTACTTATATATTATGAAAAATATATGTACTTTTATATTATCATGTTACATATAATAATATCTCTCTTTCTATCTGATGATAATGTAATAAAATATTTCTTTACTATATAACTTTGCAAATATAAAATTGTATATATAGTTTTAATAAGAATATTACCTATTGGCGCAAAGGCCCATTATACGATGGCCAGCTGTATCGATACCAACAAATTCGAAACCGAGCAATGTGTCGTCGAATCGAGTAAATCTCGTGGTATTATCAATAGCAAGCTTTCCCGTAGCGTTCATAATATCTCTAAAGTTGAGAGAAGAATATACTACATGGATCATATCCTTTTGATCATCAGGACGTATAGGGCCTTCGATCCAACAAAGCGAGCTTAAATCATCTCGTATCTATTTACCATGAATACATGTTATATATATGAATAAAGTTATAACATAAAGTAAACATAAAAATAATATATAAAAATAATATATTTTCCAATATAATATGTATATTTTCTAATAATATATATATAAATATTTGATTAAATTTTGTTGTTGAATATAATCTTTCAATGGTAACTTTCATTCCACACATTTTCAGACATAATTTATGAACCGTTTTGAGAAAAATTCTCTTCAAAGTTTGATTAAATAAATTTAAAAATATTTTTAGTATATGTATATGCACAAAAGCCTAGCAAAAGCCTTTTTATGTACATACATACATGCATACATGCATATTCTAGAAATATATATATATATATATATATATTTCTGGATAAAGAATAAAATTTCTGTATTTTGTATGTGTGTGTAAACAATTGTGCATGTTGTGAGCGTACACACTTATATGCAAATTTTTTTAGAACTGTATTTTCTTATAAATATTGTTATATACCTTTTGTATAACATATCCGTGATCAACAAGCTTCGGTTGTGGACTTGGCAACTGTAGATGTCTATAGGATCCCCAAATTCCGTCTCAATACATTAATCGGCAAGTCCAACCGAAGTTGCTCCAAATACAATGAGTCTTGCAAGGAAAATTTGGGAGCATTGGTATCTTGTATCATAACGCTTCTAATAATTTCTCCACCAGGTTCCTTTCTTAAACAGTTCACGAAGCCTAGTAAACCACTTTCTAAATCTCCCTCACTGACAAGTATTACTTTCATATTATTGGTTTCATATTCTCCATTCATAATCGAATTCAGTTTTTCGAGCCAAGTGAATTCATTATTGTTAACATGAATAATTTCCGTTTTTCTGACTGGTTGCACTTCTTTTTTCAAAAGTATAATATTCTCGTCGTTAGTATTTTTCTCTAAAATAACAGCTAAACCATACTTTGAAAATGTTGGATAATTCTGAAGTCTGGATTTTTCCCGTGTTAATATAAAGCCGCCCTTTCTCAATTTTAATAAAATATGCTCCAATTGATCTCTCTTACTTTGCGTTAGTAGCCCAATACCAATGGCGAGCAAAATATTTTCTTCGTTGGGCACTTTATCCGTGAAAATCACGTTCGATAACGAGCTGTCATTAAAGCGATTAGATGGTGCTGACAGATGTACGTTCGCTTGAATCAACGGCAAATCACCTAAAATTTCGGTGAGCATAGGTGACGCTAATTTATCTACTGTCACATTGTCGGAAATATCGATCAACTCTACGGTTTTCACATGGATAGCTTGATGATATTCGAGGGCAATGTGAACGGACAATCTGATCGCCTCATATAGGGATACTCGCGCTTGATCGCGATGCGCCACGAATTTATATTCTTCTAGGACTGGATCGCCAGCAGGCACTCGGCGAGGTATGGCTGTAGCTCTAACACCACGAATTTCGATCCCGCCTGATATTATGGTCTCCCATTCTTTGTATACGTATACGGGGAATTCTACAATAATAAAATATTAATGCTTGCAAAGCGTTTACGTATGTGTAATATAATTTTAGGCTACAATTAAACTTAATTAATTATAATTAACATTCTTATATAAACCTTGTAAAACAAATATTCGCGAACTTGAGGAAAAAGATATGTAAACTTACGTCTGTCTTCTATATTAAAGTTCTGGATTGCTTGCTGGTGAAGCTTAGTGTCGATCACAATTTTTCGTATTTTCGTGGGCACATAAAGATTTTTCGTATCTATTCCAAGAATCATCATTTGCAGCATATTGTCCAGGAATGCTACCCAATTACCTATCCAAGCAATATGTCCCTTCTTCCCTGAGATAGATGCGCTTTTTAAAGAACGGAAAATGCCTGAATATTCATAACCACGTAATTTTAAATCTTTGTAAATGTCTTTAGTATTCATCACTTCCTCCTCGCCGTCATCTTCTGGCAAAATCGAAACAGGTATCTTTTCTTGCGCAGGATTTTTCACAACTCGAACGAATCCATTTACAATCAACGTACTGCCTTCTGATATTTCGAATCTTCCAGTACCTATAGAGAAATTATTATGAAAAAATATATATTCCTGTACATCAAATGTATACTCATTTATCTTAAAATGTAAATCGTTTATAAAAAAATATATGTCTGAAAAAAAAACATGCTAGATATTGATAGATATGTTTACATATTCTTTAGTGCACAAAATAAGATTCAAAGGTTTAAAAAATTTATTAGATAATGAAGTAATTCTGGTAATTCAAAAGAGAAATTATTTAACATCATGAAAAAAAGAAAAAAAACTGACGTCACACGATGTTCCTAAGCGGTGATCAAGTACTAATCATCGTGCCCAACGCTGCTTAACTTCTGTGATCGGACGAAAACTGATGTTAATTACAGATTTATTTGCAGGACTGGTAATACAATATTTATTTGTAATTACATGTGAAATAAATAAAAAAAACTTTCATTTTTATATAAGTGGAATAAGAGCGGTACGGGTAATACTAAACTCTCGCCGCTACGTACAATTTTGATTTGACACAAACATTTTGTGGTTGAGTTATGTACGTTATGAATGGTTTGAATATTTAAATCTATATGTAGAATATAGTGTATGTGTTTATTTTCGCTTTCAACTGACTGACTGATTGACCTTCTTGCAATTATGCTTGCATTCACTGACATTCGGATGAATAGATGGTGTCAGTAATAAAAAAGAGAAAAATGAAATAAAACAAGAATTTTTTGAGAAATAATAATCCTCGAAAAGAGGACAATTAACAAGTATTGTCTCCGAAAGAGAAAAACAAAGACACGATGCGGAATACGTCCGTATGACATGGCATCTCAACAAGAAGTGGTACTTTCAGCGTGACATGAACGTTGACGAGTATAGCTGATACACGAACTATTCAAGTACTTTAACATGTAATTAAAATTTAAATCCTTTGAATTTATTTTATAACTGATACATAATATTTCATGCTTTTATAATAAAAATTTATTTTAAATAAGAGTCAAAATACTTATAGACAAAATAATTAATGAAATATAAAGTGTAATCAAATAATTTTCTAATAATTCAAAAGAGAAATGATTTAATTCTATAAAAAAAAAAGTGACAACGTTACACGGTGTTCCCGAGTGACGTTGTCATGAATGTACGAAACATATCTCAATTTTCTTAAAATATCATCAGTATATTACAATGAGTAAATTATACAAATACTTCTTCATATAAGATAATGAGAAAATATATGTAGAAATGTTTTTTATAATGTAATATTGGCACTTGATGTATTTATCACCACAATACTCCATATACTTTGATACGAATAGAAACAAAAATATACCTTTCTGAACGAGCACTGTTAACTGGATTTCACCTTCTTTCGGTATAGGAGTAGCACGCAAAAAGGTAACATCCTCAAAAACGACAGATAGCTCTGTAAACATTTCCGTATGCAGCAAGCCCATACTTTCCCAGACCATAGCAAGATATCCCGTGGCAGGTATTAAGATTTTTCCATCGATAACATGACCACTCATATATTCGATGTCTTCATCTGCTATTGAAAGAGTAACTGTTCTCTCTCCGGATATGACTTTCTTTTGCGTTTTGTACGTCGTTACAAACCAGTCGTCAGAGTGTTCCCATCTTCAAAAAGTACAAATTATTTCGTTTTTATTATCCGAATCTCTCAATAAAGCACAATAAGAATTGCGAAATAATTTTCAGGCAATTTTTCCTCATTTCCTTATTGGACACTTCGCGAAGAGTGATCAAATAATGATTTGAAATTTTTATTCGCAGAGCAAAAATTTCACTTGATTCGTTTTAAGTAACTGCATTTGGATGACTCATATATATATTTAAATGAACAATCTTTGTTCTATTAAATTTAGATAACAGTAAGCTAATTTGGCCGATTATTATATATACATATATATTTAACTAAATAATTTATATATAGCGGCAAGCCTACCTAATGGAAGGTGAGATCATCGGAGTACCGCGACTAACTGGATACTCGATTGGTGGATAGAGACTAGCGATATCCGGTTGTAGTCCCACGTTGTACAGTTTGCCAATCGCTTGGAGAACAACTTCGGAGTTATCTCTGTGACCACGCTGAGTGAGCGCGATGTTAGTAACTCCCGGACCGAGAGACCTTCTCATAATGGCCTGAAGAAGACCATGTGGTGCAATTTCAATGGTTATAGCATCCTTTGGGATCATACGCGCGGTTTCCTCGAACAGTACGGGACTCAGGAGATTGTTAGTATGGTATTCAGCAGACGACAATTTGGCAGATGCGGTGGACCACTTCTTGTGCGGCACGGACGTGCTCACCCATTTTCGACTGCGCGGCCTCGGTTCAGGAATCACCTCGTTTAAGTAAGCCAGAAGTTTCGGTCCGGCAGGTGCGATGTAACGACTGTGATAAGGTATGTTACTGCATGGTACTTCTTTCGCAAAGATTTTCTTAGCCTGGTCGAATATAGAATTAAAACAAATATTTTAATAAAGTACAATTTAGACTTTATTTGTAATTCAGCAACGTAATACATGACTAAAAATCAGCATAAAAATCATTGAAAATTTTATATACAAATGTTTTGCGCGTTGTTACATTTTAGCTAATATGCTAAAAGTTCTTTTAGCGCCGTTCTACATTGCTGAAATATTGTTTTTAAATCTATATAAATCAATTTCTATTTTAGAAGTATTTTTTTATAAAGATAAATAGTAAATTATAAGAACCTGTAGTTCAGCGACAAAATTTTTCATAGATTCAGCGGGCCCACTAATAGTACTGCTGTCAGAAGCATTATGACAAGCCACTTCAATGTCCGGTGGACACATATCTTTGATATCTTCGTAGCCGAGACCAACAGCCGCCATTGAACCGTAAATTACTTCAGTTTCAATAGACGCTAAACCTCTTGAGTATGCAGACAAAATCATTTGTTCGGCGGTGAAGCATTCGTCCGCGTAAGCACAACCGAGTTCTCCGACGGAATGACCAATGATGTTATCCGGCACGATACCAATCGACGTGATGAGATCGACCAAACCAATCTGTAAGATTTAAATTGTATCAAAATTTCACATAATTTCAAATAATTTCACGATGTCTTATAACCTTCTTTTTATTCTCAAAAGTAGCATTTGTACTTTAAAGAGAGTATTTGTTAGATTTTAAATTTATCCTTCTCTCTTGCCATCTCTTCAAAAGTAAAGATATACATATATCTTCAAAAAAATTTCATAATTCTATCCTATGAGCTGGAATACATTTTTTTACATATCTTATAATAATCATCGTAAAATATTAAGAGATTAAAAAAGAAATAGTTTGTACAATT